ATTTACTGTCTCTCTCTCCTCTCCCTGTATTTTCTCTACTCTTCTCGTGATGAAGACTTGATTATAAACCTAAAAGTATCCGAAATCACACACACTATACCTCTTCTCTCCCCTCTCTCTCCTCTTCTGGGCCTTTCTCTCTCTCTCTCCCTCTCTCTCTCCTTTTCTGTCTGTCTCTCACACGATGAATCCAGTCCGCGCTGCGCTGCCGTTAACCTCCTCCGCCTGGTTAATGCTAGCTACTCATCATTTAAAGTTAACGTCTTCTTCTGTACCCTCATTCTCCTGATCACGGGTCTGTTTAAAGATGGTGTGTATGGAAAATGCCTCAATAAAGATGCCTCCTCTCCTCTTTCTCTCGCGTTTGCTAAATCCACTTGTCCACTCATTTTTGATCTATGACAGATATAACGTTACACTACAGTCCGCTCAGTTTAGTGCGGGTTATTGCAAAACTGACGTTTCCGCGCTTGACCAATTACAGCATTCTGTTTAGTTAACGAAAAAAAGGCAGTTTAAATAAAAAATAATATTAATATGTGATCGCGATTTTTTTGCTCAGAGGAAATACAGTTGTCTGAGCAATATAGTTTTTGCAGAGAGGGAGGCGCGGCAGTTGCCTATAATAAGACTAAACATTATTAAATACCCGCGAAACACTTGTGACTTTATATCACATTTGCATTATTTTTAAAAAATGTTTCCTTCCTGTTAAAAATAAATATATTTCCAATCTGATATGTAATGGGGGAAAAAAAAAGTAGCACGAGTTCCGCTGATGGTGGTGGATTCGAACCGAGTTTATGATTAATCGCCTCAAAAGATACTGTTGTGCGCCTTACAAGGTGCGCCACTGCGGCTGTAATGTTTAATAGCTCTTTACTCATGTTGTCTCTATCAATCAGGCATCGACGGGCGTAAACCCTGAATAGCTTAGTCCAAAATTGATGCGCTATTTGCAATTAGCCAAAAAAGACACTCCGAAATTGTCTTTTTTTCTCCCCCCTCGCAGGGGCCCCTAGTGCTCACGGGCCCCTGGGCCTGTGCCCATAAGGCCCATTGGTTAATCCGGCCCTGGTGATCGCTCTTAAGAGATGACTACTGACTAGCAGCATGTCTATGGTGCTGATTTGGATTAGTCAATTAACTTAAGCTGCATGTTTTTGGACGGTGGGAGGAATCCGGGGAACTCGGGGGAAACACACATGAGCACGGGGAGAACGTGTAAACACAGAAACGTCGGCTGGCTAAGTAAGGACAAGAACCAGTGACGTTCTTGCTGTGAGGCAACAGTGCTAACCACTGGGCCACCGTGCCGCCCATCTAGGAAAGGAGGAGGAGTAGGGGTGGAAGGGGGGATTCTTCAAAATGAAGATGGCTGTGATATGAAGCTCGGGGTGTTTATAGTGGCTTTGGAGTCGTCTGACTGGTGAATCATAAATTGGCTAATGCAGGACCGGCTGTGATCAATCATAAGCACGCGATCCTCTCGACATTAGTTTATAAATAAACTTCACTTAGTTGAAGCTGCTTTTTTCGTGCTACAGAAATGTGGCGTTGAGAAGCCGTTAATGAATAAAAGTGGGGTTCATAGTGAAATCGGGGAACCCCTGCATCCCTATTAAAGATATCAGTGCATTGTACAAAAGGCCTTTTCTACAAACACATCCAAATGTTTTGGGCTGCTCACGCCACTCGCTTAATGTCAGGTGACTCACGCTCTGCACAGCCTCCAACTGCAGCTTGTGCTGTATTGAACAGACGCACGCCACTTCATAACTATAGCGAGGGCCGGAACATATTGCCTTGGGGGCCGGGTTTGGCCCGCAGACCGCTAATTGAAGAGCCCTGGTCTAAGATATCACTTGAGGAATCTGCCATGAAGCGTCTGCTGGATGTGTTGAGCTGGAGTTCAGCCAGGAGCATCACTGGAGGAGTCTAATGATCAGCAGAACAATGCTGCTCTATTCTCCACTGCGCAGG